CTTAATCTGGGAGCAGGAGAGCTGGGGTCCCTCACAACTAGAAATGGACCGAGCTCTCAGGGGGTTCAGAGCCTGCACGCGCATGTGTGTCTGGACTGATATTCAGTGGTATTCACCCATGCAGCCATGCCAATTACTAAAGTATTTCTCTACAGATCAACTAACAGCCCCCCAGGTCAACCCTTAGGTGACTCCTGCCAATCCACACAGAAGGCTCCTATGCCAGCTCAGGCCTGGCCTTCATTCCCATCGGTCAGTGTCCACGCCGGACAGCAGCCCCCTAAGTCTAGCTTCCAAGACACTTCCTGGGCACTGACATTGGCTCCCCAAAGGATGAGAGAGCAAGCTGGCGCCCACCTGTGCTTCCTGCCTGGCCTCAGGGAGCACTGCCCGGGGGTACCCTTGCCTCCTCCTGTCTGCTGGTTCAGCAGCCAGGCCACTGTGGGGCTCAATGTGCCAGCCCTCTGAACAGCACGGCCCTCGGCATGGACGTTGGTGGGAGAGATGGCAGGGGGCCTCTACCCCTACGGTGGGCCTGGCAGCAGCTCAGCAGACCCAGAAGCTCAGGGAGGGAAGCAAGAAGGATAGAAGCCCCAGGTGGGCTCCAGATGAAAGCCCAGCTCTAGTGGCCAGTTCAGGAATTAGAGAAGCTGGACTGTGTCCCTTCCCTATGGAACTTCAGCCTGAAGTGGAGTCCTTTCCAGGAGGAAGGACTAAGGGGTCCAGCAGGTCTACGCTTAGTGACCAGATTTTGCCAAAGCTGAGGATATGGTCTTGTTGTCGGTGGAAATGAGGCTCTTCCATGGGACCATGAGGAAAGCATTCCAAGGACCCATGCCTAGGAGGTGGTAGGGTGGCAAGAAGGTTTATTCATGGGGAAATAGAAGCTGCCCCCTGGGTTCCCAATGTAGGCTGCCCCTGTGTCCCGTCTCTGTATGTCCTGCCATGGAAAAAGACCAACCGCGTCCTCAGCAAGGCCAGAACAAACGCCAGGTCCAGGGTTTCTGCTTCATGTTAAAGCTTAATCCTTCCGAGCCCACGCCATCTGCTGTGGGCCCGGGTAGCTGCTAGACACACATGGTTGCGTCCTCCTGGACAAGAGAGTGAGCGAATGAGTGGGGTGAGTACAGGTTGCGGGGCGGGGAAGCTTCTTTGTTCCCCTGGGATTATATTAGCTTGGGTTTGGGACAGATCAGGTGTTTTTTTCAAAAGAAACAATCAACTTCCCAAGCTTTTGTGGGGTTTTTGATGGGCACACCCCCTAGTTAGACTGATAGGCTTTTATGATTGAGCACTCCCCCTGCGTCCCCCAACAATCTGGAATCGGAGTGGGGAACGGAGAAGTGTTCATCCCCTGGGTGGAGCAATGCTATGATCCACTGGAGTGTGAAGCCGTAGCTTCCTGGTGAAGCAAACAGGCGCATGCTCTCCAGTTTATTAAGCTCAATGTCTAATTCCCTTGGCTCCCCTTTTTATTGATAATCACCTACCTACCTACAGTAATAGTCTCACAACACAGCACACCATTGGGATTGGCCCAGGAAATTTGGGGCAGTGGGAGGCCTGAGGCTGTCTTTAGAGTCAGATCATGGGGTTCCAGCCCTCGCGCTGGCACTTTCCAGCCGTTAGGCCCTGGGCCTTGCCATCCAAGGTGGCCCTGTCAGAGGAAGCAGGCTAGGGGATTTAGCCCACCCCCTTAGTAGCTGTTGCATTTTCTGTCTCCTTGGAAGCATTTTGCAAACATAGTTTGGAGCCCACCCCACTTTGTGGCCCAGGGCCACACAGGAAGACGGAGGTGGAGCTAGATTCCAACCCAGTAGTTGCTAGACCCAACCCTTGGCTCCAAATGACAAGGCATTTATAAAATGCCATCCTGAGAAGTTCCCTGTACCCTCTCTAAGGGTGAAGCTGGGAGAGGACCCCACCATGGTGACACAGCCCTGCCTGTGAGGACAGGTCATATAGAACCTTTGATACTCCTCTCTCCTCCCCCTGCCCCCCTGAGAGGGAGGTGGCCAAGGCCACAGAGGGGACCTACAGCTGATAATTTTCAGCTGGTGCCATTTAAGTTGGAGTTAGCAGGTGGTCAGGACAGGATTATTTTAGGTCTCCCTTGCCCTACCTTCTCAGGACGCCCAGCCCAAAGCCCAGGGCCCCGGACATTGGCACCTGACACGCTCAGATTTCATGCTCCATTCTTGGCCAGCTAACATTGCTGCTGGTCTTTGGGGAGGGGGCTCTCAGTTTCTCAGACCACCCCAGCACCCCCATTTTTCTCGCTGCCCAGGCCTAAGTGGTGGGGAGAAGAGACAAACATGGGGGAGAAAAGGGACCCCCCGTTTCTCTGTGCGTATCTGATCATTGACCCCACCCTGAGTGTCATCCCCAGCTCCAGGGGCCTGGCGGAGCCCCGAGAGACGGCTCTGGCAGAACCCCCCACCCGGAACACCCAAGGCCCCTCATGGCTACTGTTACCCAGTAGTCATGCTGGGGGCCCCCTCCCACAGGTGTCACTGATGGGCACTTAAGCTACACCATGTGACAGCCCAGACCCTCCTGCCACCTGCCCTAAGTGGCCCGGTGCTCCTCAGTCCACATGCCCTGCAGACCCTTGGTCTCTGTCCGACTCCCACGGCCTCCTCTGCCGTGGCCTGAGAGGGACGGGAAAGGTGTCTGCTTAGCTGGGGGCACTGTGAGGAGGGCTGAGCGAAGGGCAGCAGCTGCTCGCTCTGGTTCAGGGCTCTCGGGGGCCATGCACCTTGCTGAGGGCTCGACATCCTCCATGTCACCTGAGCCTCACACAACTGTGTCAACATCCACCCCCCGTGTTCAGATGAGGAAAGGGAGGCTCCAAAATGTGTTGGGGTTTGTCAGGGGTCACGTGGCTACAAAACACGGAGCCTCCGATGGAAGTCAGGTCTGCCCAACCCACGACCCGAGCCATTCTCAGACCAAAGGGGATGGGCAGCCGTGCCCCACCCAAGACCTAGTGATGTGGAATTGCCGCACGTGTCCAGAAGGCCTCCCAAGCAAAGTCAGGCCCCTCCCCACCCCACAGAGCTCCAAGTCCAGCTGCAGCCCCAGATTCTCCTCGTCTGCAGCCAGATGGCTAAGGTGCAGCTCCCAGCTCCTCTTACCAATGGGAGAATGTTGAGGAAATTATTTAACCTTGTTCTTCATTGTTCTGTCTCTAAAACGGGGATGATAATGAACACGCACCTCACAAGATTGGAGTGAGCAAATCAGTTAACATATGTCAGTGGGGCTTGCACAGAGCAAGTGCTACGTAAGCACCACTGTACATAAAAATGTCGCCTGATTGTCTCCCGTGCATTCACTTGGTCTTTCTGGTTCGTCCTTGGTAGGGGCAAAACTTCTGTCCCCACTGCCAATAACCCACACAAGGTCAGACCCACAGCAGGCTCTTTTATGTTTTTGCTTCCGTCATGAACAGCTATCAAAGTTTGTGTGTTTGCAGGTGGTCTTGGATTCTGGATTGCAGCCAGTCATATTCATCCTATAGCTGGGCACGGGGGCAGGGGGGACCTTGGGGAATGCAAACTACGTAACTGACAATAGATTCTTATTGGCTTTGAGCACTGGGAAGCTCAGAGGTAAAATTATAGACAGGGTGAGCAAAAGTTGTGAGTGCCTGGAACAGTTTATTCCTGCATTCTTAATTTATTCATTATTGTATCATACAAACCACTGTTGGCCTGCTTTTGCCCGCCCCTATCTCGTTTAACTAAACAATTAGAGCACAAGAATGGCAGCTGCTTCCCTTTTGCATTCCAGCCTGATTGATGGATAGCGCTAGGTTGAGGCTGCAGTGAGCACTATCAGCCCTAAGAATGGCCAGGGGGCACCTGGGCTAAGAAGCTGAGAACAATGATCAATTAGCGATGTCTGCTGTGGGGAGGACAGCGCAGAGCACACTGTGTGCGCAGCGTGCGTGTGCCATCCGCAGGCTGGGCAACTCAGCTGTGTGTTTATTTCATCCAAGTCCACACCTTCTCATAAAACTTATATTTTTTCTGTTATGTTGTATATTTTATTATATGTCCTTCCTTTGTGGAATGAGGCAGGTTATAAATAAAATAAGCTGACGGACTTCACTTGGAGCCCTCAGCCCTCTTTGCAGGGTAAGAGCTCCAGGATGGGTCCCTGATGGCGGCAGAGAACAGCCACCAGGGAGCTGAAGGCTCCTTCAGCCCCCAGTGCTGTGCCTGGCGCCTCCCACAGGCCTGAAAGTGAGTTGCCCCTGGATTTCTGCAATACAGAAAGCTTTTTGCAAGAAATTAATTAGGGTCAGATCAAGAGTTAGACTGTCACTGAGGTGTGCCCCCTACATCCTTGCTGAGGATAAGGCTGTCTGGCATGGGCCCCCAATTCCATCTCTCTTGGGGGTATGACTGTGGCTACATTTAATCAGGAAGGACCTGAGAATCTAAAGTAATGCAATTTAGTAATCGCCTCAGAGGGCTGCTAACAATGCAGAGTCCTTGTCCCAGCTCAGGACCGCAGCACCAGCATTCCTGAACCCTTGGATCTGCCTTTGCCACCAGTGTTCCCGCTGGGATGAGATACCACAGGCCTGGGGCTGGTGACGCCCCTCGAGAAACCGCAACTCTGGGCTCCTAGGCTGGGGCAGCATCGCCACCTGGTGGATTCCTCTGGAACACCTCCCTTCTGAAGCCCTTCCAGCCCTACTGTAGGGAGGCAAGTCCTCATGCCCCGCCCCTTCCTCCTCCTCCAGGGCCTCGAGAAGACGGAGGGGAGAAGCCTGAGGGTGGAGAGTGGGGAGGAGAGCCTCCTAGGTCATGCTTTTGGCCCACCTTCCACTCCTAAAGCAGCTGACAAGGCAGAGCACCTCCTCTGGACTTCGCAAGGCTAGGCAGGAGGTGGGCTGGAGCTCATCCCCTATGGCAAGTAAGAGCTTCCTTTAAGTCTCACAATGCATATTTAAAGTTCCTGAATTCTGCACACCTTACTCCATCACATTTCTTTCTTTCTTTTTAAAGACTTTATTTATTTTTAGAGAGAAGGGAGGGAGAAAGAGAAACATCAATGTGTGGTTGCCTCTTGCGCGCCCCCTACTGGGGACCTGGTCCGCAACCCAGGCATGTGCCCTGGCTGGGAATCAAACCAGCCACCCTTTGGTTCGCAGGCCAGTCCACTGAGCCACACCAGCCAGGGGTCATCACATTTCTTTAATATGAAAATGTTCCTTTCCTTTGTCAAAAACAGGTCCTGTAGAAAGAATCCAGTCTTATCCGGCGGCTTCGTTGTGCACCTGCACCTGGTTCTCAGAGGCAGGAGCCTAGAGGTACAATCTATACTTGTTTCAATATACAAATCAAACCCCAGCTACGTCGGCAGCCAGGGAGACAGGCCAGAACGGGGTGTCACACACTCCTCAGGCACCAGGCTGAAAAGTGGGCCAGGGACGTCAAGAAAGGGCCCCTGCCCTGGGGACAGCCCTGAGCTGCCCGCCACTTCCCTGCAGACCCAGCCGTTCCACTCACCCTCTCTCGCCCCTCTGGTCCTTCTCCCGCCGCTTGAGGAGCAGCACCCCCAAGTCAGGCTGGGTTGTTACAAATCCTCTTTAATGGTCTTCAAATCTTGAGTATGTTTTACAGAACTGTGCGTGCAGGCCCTTCCCACTCCCCTACAAAGCACAGCCTCACCCACCCACTCCCCGGGAGGCAGAGGACAAGGGGAAACATCCTTCCCCCTTCCCTGAACAGCTCAGGGCCTGCTGTGAGCCACACCGTGGGCATGCAACATTTTGCTTCCCTAACCCGCCCAGGGCCAGGCCAGGCCCCTTTCGGCCGAGCTCATCCAAGGTCTTGCTCCCAGGATGTGGCCCAGGCAGATCTGAGCTGCCTGAGTGGGGCTGGGTCAGGCCTGGGGAAGGGGTGCCGCCCCTAACATCAGGTAAAGCCCAACCTCTCCCACAACATTTCATGAAAATGTGAAAGCCAAAGGTCTAAGCATCATAGTGAAAAAAAGTTGACCCACGCAATGGGCAGCCCCCTGACAGCCCAGGGTGCCTTATCTACATCCCCCCCAATTTTTAATACACTTCCCCCCATACAATATATACATCCCCAAAGGCAGGTAGAAACCCGGCGCACCTGTGCAGAGATGCTGCAGGGGGTGTTTCTCTGAGCTGCCCAGAGAACCCTGGTGGGCAGTGAGCGGAGGAGCCGCAGAACAGCTGGGCTCAAGGCTGGAGGCTGAAAGGCAGGGAGAGGGGTCTGGGCCCCAGAAGTCCCCTCGTTTCCAGCCAGCACAGGGTGGGCAAGGGGCCTTGGCAGTAGTTGGAAGGCAGGCCTGGAGGCAGGGAGCCAGGGAGACTCCGAGGAGCCCTGAGGTTGGGGGACAGGCAGGGAGGTGGGGACAGCGGCTGCCTCAGTACTTGGGGACCTTGCTGTAGTCTTCGGAATGGATGTGCCGGCACAAGCAGATGGACAGGAGCATCCCCAGGAGCTGTTGAGGGAGAGGGCGAGAGTCAGAGGGGCAGGGCTGCCCAGCCCCCGGGGGCCCCAGAGCCGCGCCCTGCTGTCCAGCTCCACACACAGGGATTAAGAGGAGCCTCGGCCACAGCCTTGTGACCAGCCTGGGATTCAGGCGGTTGAGGGGCCGGGAGGGGCCAGCGCCCAGGCCAGCCTTGCCACAGAGCCTCTAGAAGCTGGTGGGCCTGTGCCTCCGCCAGGACATCAACAGAACAGGGACAACAAAGGAGCACAGAGTACGGAGAAGGCTGCGGGGGAGGGGACCCAGACCTCAATGACAGCGATGCCCACACACACGCCTAGGATGATGCCCAGGTTGTCCTGCAGCCACGCCTCCACCTTCTGCATGCAGCCCTACAAGGGGAGAGAACACAGCCACATCACCCCACGTCGTGCCACCTCCCCCATCAGGCGGAACCACCAGGAAGGGTCACCTCCCGCCCAGAAGGGTCAGTGTGTTTCTTCAATAGATAAATGCATGAGCATGTAATGAAGGTACAAATGGCAAGGGAACAAATGGATCAAAAGCAGGAACACTTAGGTGAAGAAAGAAAGGGAGGATGAAGAAAGAAAGGAGCCCAGGGAGGATGGAGCAGGAGCCCAGGGTGGCCAGGGTACCTGAACCCACGGGTGTCGCCGAGCCCAGCCCCTGGCCCCGCAGCCCTCTGCATACCTCCTTATACACAGGCCAGTCTTCGGGGTCGTTGCCACTCTGGGTCGTGTTGCCCTCACAGAAGCCCTTCCTCACGAGGCGGCTGCTGTCGTCTCTGTCCTCGATCTCGCAGGAGCAGGGGTAGGTGACGGTGGTGCGATTCATGAGCTCGGCGTTTTCTGTCCAGTTGTTGGGGCTGGCCCAGCCGCAGCACTTGCCCTGGGCAGAGAGGGGACGGGCTGCTCAGGTCCACTGCCCACCCCGGCAGGCTGCCCCTTCCGGCAGGGCTGGGGCCTCCCCAGGGGGAGGCTCAGACCTGCTTCTTCCAGGCCCCCCTGGTCCCAGCCACTGTGCCAGGATCCACATTTTGGTTTCCCTTTGGCTTCTGTGAGCCACAAAGGATTTAAAGGGGCTTTCGGGAAACACATACCATAACCTACGAAACAGTAGGAAGGAAAAATCAGGACCAGCAAAAATAGAAAGCAGAACAGGAGGGAAGTCCAAGTCGAAAGGCAGGACACAGGTGTGGGGGGCATATAGGAGGGCAGATAACTTTCGGTTAAGAGCGTGGGGTCTGCAGTCAGGATACCAGGTTCCAATGCCAGCTCTGCCACCTACCAGCTGCTCAGCTTTGGTCAAAGTACCGATCTTAGTTTCCTTATCTGCAAAATGCGGTAACAAGGTTCCTGACCCCCAGGGCTAAATGGATGAGGCAGGTGGAGCGCCTAGCACAGGTCTCGAGAGCGCAATAATCGCTCAGGAAAGGCTGGTCCACTTCCAGGTGCTAAGAGTCTTCTGGAGCTGCAATTTGCCTCTGAGCTTCCTGGTTGCCCGAGTGAAAAACGAGACGTGGTCCATTCCGCCTTTACAGAGGAGTAAATGTGCTCATTCTAGAGGGAAAGAGGGTCTTCCTGGGCTCCAAGGGCTAAAAGAGGAAGGACTCCGTGGGGCTCAGGAAGGGGACCCCGAGAGGCTTCAGATCACATCTGGGCTTGAGTTCCCAACAGGATTGGGGTCTCAGGGGCTGGGCCTGTGCTGGAAATGCCCTGGCAAGGCAGAGCAGAGGGCGGGCAAGGCTCCTTTCAAATCCCGGCCCTACCCTGTGCATGGGCAAGCCCCTGCCCTTCTCTGAGCTCACTCCTCATCTGGAGAACGGCATGGCAATGACCGCGATGGAAGGTCCCTTGGGAGGATTAAATGAGCTGCATGGGTAAGTTCCATGCCACCATGTCTAACACGCAGTAAGTCAGTTCCCCATCTGCTTCCTTCCCATCTCCGTGAGAGTCTCTGACGAGCAGCCCAGTCGCCAGCAGGGGGCGTGCCAAGCACGCTCTGCGTTCTAAGGCTCCAGGTTGTATTTCTTACATAGCAGTTGCCTGGCTGCCTCCTCTCTGGCAGAAAGGTTGGGACCTCCGAGGGGCACCCACAGGCCCTCCCACACCCAAGCAAAATGAGGCAGCTTTCCTTGGCCCTTCTACTACACCAGGCAGAGCCCCCCTCACCAGGGCCTCCCGCCCTGACTCCTGCCCAGATCTGTCCCCAGCCACCACCCACCCTCCGTCTCAGTGGTTGTGCAGGGTGAGTAACATCACCACATGACAAGAGCTGCCTAAGTGCCACAGGCTTTAAAAGTTCACTTCACAGGAGTATGCGATCAATAGTCCCATTTTACAGATGAGGAAACTGAGGATGACAGAAGGTCTGGCCAGGAAGTGGTAGAGTTAGTATCCCAGCCCTTGGGAGGCTGATTTACAGTCTGCTTTATTTATTTATAGAGAGAAGGGAAGGAAGGAAGAGAGGGAGAGAGACATTAATGTACTAGAGATACATCCATCTGTTACCTTTCACACACCCTAAAATGGAGACCTGGCCTGCAACCCAGGCATGTGCCCTGACTGGGAATTGAACTGACGACCTACGGGGTTGCAGGCTGGCACTCAATCCACTGAGCCACACCAGCTGGGGCTACAGTCTTCTTTTTTAACCACCATCTCAAGCAGCATGTGACAGACATCAGAATCATCTAGAAGCCTTGCCAGCTGCAGGAATCTCCCCAACCAACCACCTCCCATGGTGGGATGCTCATCTCCTAAGTCCTAAGGAACCCACTTCTCCCCTAGGCTCCTTAAAAGGTGGCACTGGTTCATTCTGGGGCATCAACTCCCTCAAATCTTAGCAAAGTGTCTCAGGAGGTGTGGGTCAAACTAAAGGTGTGAGGAAAACACCTTCCTGTGTGCACCGAGCCCTCTAGCCGACACAGGCCTTCCTGCCAGGCCTCGTCTGGTCCTCACCAAAAAATCTGTGAGGTGCGTTGGCCAGAAAACATTGCCCTTCCCTTCTTCCAGCCCAGCAAATGGATGTGCCCATGTCTCCTGGACAAAGTCCCCCTTCAGTTTCCAGACTCCCCTGCTGTCAGTCAGTGCCAGCAGGTCCTCAGTGACTTGCATCCAGCGTCCCCACTGGAGACAGGAGGAGGCCGCAGCCCAGAGGCGGCGGGTCCTGGCCAAGGGCACACAGCACCTGGGACCGGGAGCGAGGGGGCAGCGGCGGCCTGGTCACTGATGCCGATTTGTGCGTGTGGCGATTGGGTCGCCATCAAGGCAGTCTGGGAACACTGTCACGTGCTCATTCAGTCAGTCGGTCACGCAGTTATTCTGCCATTTATTCACTCAGTATGCCCGCCTGTTTGTCATTCAGTCCATCCTGTCAGCCAGCCGGTTGCTCTCTGGCTCCCCCACTTCAGTTGAGGTGGAACATACATACACTGAAGTGCACCGATTCAGCGCGCACATTTTTATACACATCCTGGTGTAACGGACACCTGGGTCAGATTTGAATAGAACATTCTTTTCCCCCCCAGGAGGTTCCTGCGGGCTCCTCCCTTGAGGCAGCTGCATTCAGACTCAGCACCCAGTTTCTGAACCTCCAGGGAAGAGCTCCCGATACTCGCCTGCCCGGCTGGAGACAAGCGGGCCGAGGGCTGGCCCCTCCGTCTGGCCACCGGAGGAAGGCTGTGAGCTGTGGCACAGCCTCGAAGGCCCGGGGCCCCTGAGCAAGGAGCCGTGGTGGTGGCTGAGATGTCAGGTGCGGGGGCTGCTCAGGGGCCGCCCATGCCTCGCAGATACACGCTCATGTGCAAACTCGCTAACATATTCTGTCGGGTGCATATAGGCACAGGGATGACCAAACCCAGTCACACAGGCGCAAACAGGCCAGGAGCCTCGTGCTGCCTGTCCCCTGCCCCGCCTTACCTGAGCCTGCACGTAGTCCCAGCCCTGCTGCAGTCTGTCCTCCTCACCATCCTTGTAGTCCCGGATGAGCCTGGTCACAATGCTGCCCATCTCCTGCTTCACCTTCAGGAGAGAGAAAGGATCAAGGTCAGATTTCTTGAAATCCATGCCCCATCTTTGGTCACATCTACTTAAACTGCCTCCTCCCTACCCTGATCCCCCAGCCTGGGGACACGCTCACGGTGTGAGAACATTTCATTGCCCGTTCCAACCGCTTTCCTGACACTTCCTACTGGTCACCACGCCGAGCCCAGGGCAGTCAGGGCCAGCCACTTCCAGCCTACAGTTCAGTTGGCACTCAGCAGCCGCGTGACCCTTTCAATGTAAATCTTCCCGTGCCATTGCCGAAAACCACCCGGTGGCTTCCTGCTCTCTCAGGAGAAACACCAACACCCTCCCGGTGGCCCACAGTGCTCTTCCCAGACCTCATTTCTTCTGCCCTTGCTTCCTGTGCTTCTGTCACACAGGTCTCCTTGCTGTCTTTGTGCTAGGCTCACTCCAGCCTCAGGGCCTTTGCACATGCTGTTTCCTCTGCCTGGAAACTCTTCCCCCAAATATTAACATAACTCACTTCTTTACTTCCTTCATGGCCCTGCTCAAATGTCACCTCCTCAGAAAGGCCTTTCTGGACCATCCTACAAAATACCATCCCTTCTCTATCCCCTCTCCACCCCCTCCTAGGTCATCCTTATTCTACAAGGGATATCCTACATTTTCTTTCTTTCTTCCCCACCCCACCCCCACACCTGAGGACAGGCTTAATAAGTTTAGAATAGAGGGGAAGTGAGGGAGAAAGAAGGAGAGAAACATCAATGTGAGAGAGAAACATCGATTGGTTGCCTCTCGCACGCATCTGGACCAGGGACCAAACCCACAACCCAGCTACATGTCCTGCCTGGGGACTGAACCCACAACCTTTTGGTTTATGAGATGACGCCCCAGCCAACGGAGCCACACCGGCCAGGCATGCACTTTTTTTGTGGCACGGTCATTATGTGCTCATTTGTTTCCAGGACAGGGCAGTGGTGCCGTGCGTACATAATAAGGAACGTGCATAACCCCTGCTATCTACCACGCAGCCGGGCGGTCCTCATGCCCTCTCCAGGTTAAGCCGCACGCCTGCCCCCGGGCCCCACAAAGCCCACACCCTGACTGTGCTGGCTCCCGCGGTGCTCAGGACTTCAGAGGCCCTCACTGAGGAAGACTGAAACCCCTGCTTTTCACTAACCCCACAGAGAAAGCCCTGATTTACAAATAAGGCGGACGACAGGTGCAGTGGCCAAAGGGATGCAGCGCCCAAGGCCTTTCCCTGGGGCCCCGGACAGAGGATCTCACGACAGCAGCTTTTCAGGAAAAAGTCAGCTATGCAAAGAGAGGCAAACCGAAACCAGCCTAGAGAGCCGAGGACGGGGCCCCAGCCCCGGCCTGGCCCCACCAGGCCTCTCCTGCAGTTCCTGCCCGACGCCTCCTCCGCCGCACACACCCATGCACAGGTTGGTCATGGTCACCGGCTGCCTGTCGCTGTGGAACCCCACCGTTAGGGGCCCAAGAGGGGCAGGGGCACTGGGGGGACCGCTGCACACCTGCCCCTCCGTTCCTGGGAAAAGGGGATTAGAGAGAGGGGACAAGCGCTTCCAGGCAGGGGCTGTCAGGGCGTGGCCGAGAACCCTGCCTGTGGGACTTCTGCCAGCTCCCCACAGGCAGCCCCCGAATGCTGTGCTCAGAGAAACCACTTCCTCCAGATGGACCTGAGGCCCCGGCTCCTGGTCCTTCCTGTCACAGACCTGGGGAAACCAGGCCCCCGAGGACCTCACTCTGCCCTTTCCCTCTTGATTAAACTCTTCACATGTTGCTTTTTGTTTGCTGACCCAGAGCACTCTACAATTTACAAAGCTTTCTCGTCAGTAACTAATCAAGACAACAGGAGTGGCTAACGTTCATCAAATGCTTGTTCTGCACTGGTGCTATGCTAAAGCACTTTCAACATCATCCCACTTGAATCCTCAGAGCACACCTATGATCTAGGTATTGACCTCGTTCCCTCATTTTAGAGATGCTGAAAACGAGGCTCAGAGAGGTTCATTAACTTGCTCAAGGTCTCTCAGCCATCAAGTAGAGAAGCTGAGGTTTGGACTCAGGCCTGTCTGATTCTAAAACCTGTTTTTACCCATTCAGCTCTACGGCATTTTAACTGCATGGCTACACCTTGAAGTCAGCCAGAGCACATTTAAGAAGCGCCCAGAGAGGCCGGGTGGTTTGCCCAAGACAGAAGGCGGGGGCTTTCTGCCTGCAGACCTTGGCTCTCTGTGCCCTGACCATCCCCGCCTTTGCCTGGGTGCTCTCTGAGGCAAGAAAAGAAGGGGGTTCCCCGGAGACATTTGCTTGGAAAGCCACCTCTCCCACATCCTTTGCACCGGCCTTCCCCCCCGCCAACCAGGCTCTATTCACACCCTGGTGTGGTTGCCGCAGAGGCCCAGACTTCCCTGTTTCAGGCCCCCCTAAAAAGAGAAGGGGATGGACCGTGTGCTTTCCACTGAGACTGGGTGGTTTCCATGGAAACACCAGATCATCCTCCAGCCCCAAATGTGGGCCACAGCTGAGCCACAGGGACCATGGCTGCAGGGGCTGGTTCAGCTTGGAGCTGATGTCTTGGGACCCCGGTACCCATGCGGCTGTGTTAGGAGCCCAGGGACGTCACCCTGGCAACCAGGCTGTTCCCCAGACAAGGAGGAGCAGGGAGACAGAGTGAGAGGATGTTCACCTTCTCACTTCATCCCTGCAGGGGCTGCCTCTGCAGTTTCTGACTGTTCTGCACCATTGTCCCTTCTTGAAGTAACAGTTCCTTTCCTTAGGCATCAGTACCCTCAATCCCCCGACGTGGCTGGAAGTCCTGCCCCCCGCCCCTACTTCCCTGCGGCTATTGGCAGGCAAAGACCTAGGCTGCCACTTGAATGCCTTTCACATCCTGGGAACAGCGAGTGGTTTGGGGATGAGTACCCGTCCCAGGGTCACACACGTAGGCCCTAGGCCCTCTCTCTGTTAATCTGATGGGAGGAGGGCCTGAGCTGCTGGTGGCCACGCTGGCCTCCACTGGGGACAGCCCATCTGAGAAGGAAGCCAACGGCAGAGAGAAGGCTGAGGATGGCGAGGGGACAGAGTCCTGGTGATAGTCTCTGGGTTCCTGGACCCAGCTGAGCCGGCAGCCAGCTGGCTACTTGCAGTCGATTACTGCTGCAGGCAATCAGGGTCCTGCCCAGGGAGAACTGCATGATTTGCAGGCCAGTGAGAAGTGAAAATGCAGGGCCCTTGTTTAAAAATGATGAAGAATTTCAAAACAGCAGCAGCAGAGCATCACACCAAGCACAGGACCCTTCTAAGCGTGGGACCCCTACACTTAGGTCATACGCCTAAGGAGCCAGCCCTGGTCCTGCCCAATACCATCCGCCTCGTTTCCCAGGAGAGAAATCGGAGGCCCGCAGAGTCGGAACGCTTCCTAAGATCACATAGCTAGCAGGCAGCACAGAGGGCCGTGAACCTGACACGTGCAGCCCCAGCGCCCCAGGGCCTTACCTTCAAGAAGCCGCTTGCTGTCTCCACCTGATGGGAGGCCCCACCGGCCCCCAGGGGACTCCCCCCTGCCTTTCTCACCAATGCTGTGCTTGTATTTCACCGTGAAGTGTGACTTTCACAGAGAGGTTAAATTAGAGGTTAAAATAGCTTTGAGTGCAATGCATCATCTAAATGAAGGATCCTTCTCATACCTTTCCAGGTTCTGCTTAAATGTTGCCTTTGAGGGGGAACTCACCACCTCACAAAATAGCATACTACAGGACACGAGCACTTCATCTGCAGTTGAGCCCAAATGCCTTCCACCTTCAGTGTTAGTTCTCATCCTCCTCTCTCCTCCCGATTCCCAGGTGGGACCACACGGAAGAGGTCAAGCCTCCGTCTCCCTGAGACCGATATCTCAGACCAGACCGTGTCTCCCTGTACCCTCTCCTTTCCAGGGGACGTTTCTAGGCTCCTTTGGCCACCCGCTGAGATGGCGTCCAGACCTCTCTCCATTCTCTTTACTCTAACGTTTCAAATCCCCTTAGAATGAGGAGCCCCAGGTGCAGTGCAATAAGCCACGTCTTCCTGTCTTCCCGCTGGGGTTCCCACAGCCACGTTGCCAAAGGCTTTGAGGCTTCCCCCTGGTATCCTGGTAGGAAACGAGGACCCTTTGCAACGGTGAATGTGGAGGGGGTGGCATGTTTACTCTCAGTGACCACCTGAGTCTTTCCTGAAAGTCTGCCACAGTCCAAACAACCGGATACCCAGAGTTCAGCAGGAGGCCACGCCACATTCCCCCACCCCAGTCACCTGGAGAGCTCCTGAGGGCGGGGCCTGTCCCGGAGCCCCCCCGTGTAGCCGGCACCCAGCAGGTGTTCCCAAGTTTTTGTCCCATTTTTCACCATGATCCCTTTCCAGAAGGACAGGCTGGATGCCTTCTTCTCTCCTCCCAACAGGGGAGAGAGCAGCCACCTCTCCCTGTCCTGGCTGCGGCTGCCTTTGAGCCAGTGCCTCCGGAAGCCTGCGTCTCAGCGAGCAGACACCTCACAGACCTGCAAGTCCTTGAGGAACCTGTTTTACTACCTGTACCTTAGGATATGCACAGTGACTATTTGGGGCTTCTCAGGTAGAGTAGGAAGGAGGAGGGGGTCACAGCTGTCCTGACCACCCTCTCCGGGGGGCACACAGATACTGTCATCACTCCCAACCCCCAGCTCCCACCCAGACCCTGCAAGCCCGTTTCCCTCCAAGCTCTCAGCCCCCTTCTGCTGAGCCCCTGATATTACTCTCGGAGGCTCAGCAGCCCCACCTGCGCGGGTCGTTGGGCACGCGGTCAGGGACTGCACGGATGCAGCAAGCCCGGTGTCCGGCACATCCCGGAGGCACATCATCGTCAGTTCACTTCCTTCTTCCTGACCCTCTCCTACCCTCCACTGCTCGCAGAGAACAAGTCAGAATCCCAGACTGGCAGGACCCAGAATGGCCCAAGAGGTCACCTGAGGCTCAGAGAGCCCGGGCAGCTTGTCCAAGGACACAGAGCAATCGTTGGCAGAGCCCACCCTAGAACACGGGGCCCCTGAATCCCAGACCTGCCCTTTGCCCACTGAATGAAGGCTAGATAAACAGAAGAGGAAGCAGCCAAGGGAGTCTCAGCTTCACACTTCCTGGTTCCCACGGTCCCTGCTAATACTAGTATTGATACTGAGACCCACAGGAACAGCTGCCATGTACTGAGCCCTTACTAGGAATTAATGAAGTTAATAACAGTGACAATAACAGTAACACTTGCAAAGATGCCAGCAAACACCTGCTCCGGGCCAGCACTACTGTGTCCTTCCTGTGGGTCGGCACTCTTCCCCACTCCCCACAGCGCTAGGAGGGGCCCTTGGGGCCCAAGGGCTCCGGCACTGAGAAATGTCCCAGTTTTACAAAGGCATCAGGGTCTGTGCTACAGCCCGAAATCTCTCTCATGGACATTTCCCAAGGGACACCTGCCTGCGGAACACAAGGGCCCCAAGTAGCCTCACTTCCACATGGGTCCATTTTGCCACCAAATGAGTTATAAATGTTTTTTGTGGGTGGGGGGCTGTGGATTTCAAAGTGGTTTTGGGTTTCAGAATTGCAGACAAGAAACAGTGGACCCGTGGGATTACTGCATTTGGCAACAAGGCAACGGAGACCCAGAGAGGGCAAGCAACTTGCCAAGGGCTTCCTTGTGGGGCTTCCGACATGGGCAGTTTGGTTCCGGAGCCCACCCAGGCCTGACCGCCACTCTGCATTTTATAAGTGTGTGGCAGTCGGTGCTCCGGGGTGGGGGTAGGGGTCAGGCAGGTTTACTCTCCTCCATTCATAACAGAGGAGCCCAAGGCTGGAGAGGCCACACGCCTCGCCCAAGGACCCAGCCGCTGCTGGGCCCCCCACCCCCCACTGCTGCCCTGGAAACAGCGGCTGCTGAAAGTGGGGGGCAGGGAAGGCAGATGGCAGCCTGGGGGCCATTTCACAGGGAGCGGGGGGCTCAGTCCGCCCGCCTGCCCAGGAGGCCTGGAGAGCCAGGAGAAGTGGGCCCACCGCCTTGCAGCGCGCCTTTCTCTCCCTTCAGGCTCACACAAGCCCCAGCCCCCCGGCTGGGCCTCATGTGCAGGGATAAACACCATCAAGGGCATGTTTAGTCTTCCACCGGGATTTACAATGTGCCGGGAAAGAAAAAATAAATCGTTCATTCCAACTTGGGCGATAGAGTGGCGCCAGAACTTCCGCAGAAAAGCCAGAAAACTTCCCCCTGCCTTCCAGAAGAGGAGGTGGGCCGAGGTGAGGGGGCCTGGGATGGGGAGAGAGAGGGGTCGAGCCCGGGGCTGGCGAGGGAGGCACAGAAGGGGAGAGTGGGTACGAGGGACAGAGTCTAGACTGCAGTCAGGAGAGAGGACCCTCCACACAAGCTCTGCCCTGGACCTGCGGAATCCCTCAGAGGTGTGGCTCTGGTCGTCGGCCAAGCAGAGACTGTACCGTCCTGTGGGTGGCAGCGTGGAGATGTGGGCCTTGAGTCAGAGGTAGCAGGAGGGGCATCTCCACTCTGACAGCTCCAACCAGTGTGTGACTGTGGCCAAAAGCTACTTCACCTTTCTGGGCCTCAGTTTCGTAAAGTAGAAATGCTTGTAGAAGTGAAATGTGTGTCAAGTTACTAAGACAGCTGCTGGCACGTGGCTGGTGTCCACAGATGAGCACCGTCTTTGTTGCCATGAGACGGGGAAACACACAGGGGTGAGAAGGTGGACTGCCCGACACCCCTGCAGTTCCTGTCCAGCTTGATTATAATGTGCAGCTGTCTGGGTCCCAGAGAAGCCCCTGGTGCTAACCCATAGCCCTTTCTCTGCAAAAGGAGTTTCCCTGCCCTAAGTATCTTCTTGTGCAGTAGCCAAGTAAGCTTCCTTTCTTCTACTGAAACTGTATTTCCCCTTTTGCTGTGGCTGCTAGGAAGCTTGGGTTCAAGTTAGCCCTCAGCTAACTGGCTTCCGGAACAATGGTCCTTCTCTCTCTCGATGTGCATTCTGATCTCTCATTTTGACTTTAGCAGCCCTGTGCCTACACTGGAAGTCAGGTCCAATTCTCCTGGGAAACAGGCTGGGTGTCGATTGTAAATAAGTAAAGCAGATTCAGATAGGGGGGCCACAGTGAAAATTCCACCAGCATGAACTCAGAAGCCAGGCTGCTGGGGTTCGAACCTCAGCTTTGCCATTTACTAGCTATGTGACCTTTGGCCAAGTTGCTTAACCTCCCGGTGTGCCTCAGCTGCTACATCTGAAAATGCGGATATTCATATTCGTGATCTCAGAGAATTTCTATGAAGCCCAAGTATTCAATGTAGTACGTGCACATTTAGTTCCAGACTTGTTCGATGTGTTAGTTGTTCAGCGAGTAATGTTTTCTTAAGAAGGACCTGAGGCAACATGACCTTCATGTGGGAAAATACAGGAGCCCACCCAGCTGCCGGCTCTGCTACCTGCTCAGTGGACGAGAACTGTAGCGTTGGAGGAAGGCAGGCCCCCAGCTCAGCTGGGCCACGGGCGAACTCCTGCTGGGGTCGGGGAGCCTGAGCTCTCACCCGGCCTGGCCACTGACCTGCTAGGTGACATCTCCCCCCCACCCATAGGATGGGGATTCTCCCATATCTTGGGAGAGTACGGTGAGGATCAGCAAAAGAATGAATGTGAAGTGGCCAATACTGTATGATGTGTGCTGAACCCATGCAGGGGTAGTGGAGGTTATAGTTATGTTATTGATGCTGTTATTGCTATTAATCTCTGAGCATCTGCTTCCCTGTCTGACAACATAATACCTACCGTACAGAGCTATTGTGAGGATGAGACAATGTGTGTAAAGTTTCTAGAAGGTATCTGCGCACATAGTAGGTATTCCATAAATACCTGTAATCATCACAATTGACTGACTGGCTCACTCAGAAGCCATTCCTGGCTCCTTTTTCCTCTTTCTTTAGCGTCTGAAAGCTAGATACTTTCTCAGCCACCAATAAAGCCAGGGGTGCCCTTGTAACCCAATCTGGGGGATGTTTATAGGGGGCTTGCTCTTCTGGTAAAAGGAATAGCCATGGCTGGCATTGCCCCATCCCCTTTCTTTTGGCCAGAGCAGCCCAAGATGGTGCTGTGGCAGCCACCTGGGGGCCATGAGGTGAGTGGTATGCTGTAGAGAAGCCATTATGATAAGGATGCTGAAAAGACAGCCAGAACCACCGTCTCTGAGCTTCCAAACTTGACTTCTGATTACGTCCACAAGTGTCCTTAGATGTTAAGCCACAGCAAGTCTAATGTTCTTCTATTCCTCAAGGCTGAGCACCTTCCCTCTGACACAGGACTAATGTTTTTATTAACAATTTCCTCCCTGGGCCTCATCTGTGGATAAGAGGCATGGATGTAATACTTGCTAAAGCGCCTTAACAACAATAAGAGCAATGAAGATTTACTGAGTTCATGCCAAGAACTATGCTGTGTTTTACTAACATAATCTCACTGAACCCTCGCACCAACCCAGAGAGTTCAATGTCATTATTGTGCCCAGTTTACAGAAGGTGAAACAGGCAGAGAGGCGAGCATCTCGTGCACAGTGGCCCCGTGCACAGTGGCCCCACGGCTAGCAAGTGGGGCAGAGCGGGATCCAGGCCCAGGAGAGACTCCGCCCACAGATACTGCCTTCCCACCTAGCAGCCCACCATTTAATCACAGAGAAGCTGTTCTGTACTTGTTAGGTCTGCCTATGACAACTGAGGCTTCTTATCTATCCCCCACCCCAAGGCCAATCCCCCATATGGCTGGCCCAATGCAGTTTGGGGACGGGGAGGGAGGAGGTGCTTACCTTGTCCGTGTTGAAATAGAAGAGGACACCAGCAGCCACCTGGGCGATGAGGATCAGGAGGAGGAAGACAAAGTACTGGGAACACAGAGCAGGCAGTCAGCTGAGTGTCCCCCACCACGTCCCACTCCCCTCAGATGCTCGCCACCTGGTCTGGGCTAGGGCAGGGCTCAGGGCGCCGGACAGGCAGTGGGGAAGGGCCGACTCACCAGCCCCAGCAGGCAGCGGACCTCGTTCACGGCGCCGATGCAGCCCAGGAAACCCATGAGCATGGTGACAGCCCCCACGCTGATGAAGATGTAGGCCCCCACATTGAACAAGCTGGAGGAGTTCTCTGGGGAATGGAAGGAAGAAGGGTGTTCGATGCAGCCTGGGTGGCTCACTCTCATGAAGTACAAAATCAGGGGTAGGGCCCGAAGGTCCAGGATTGCTCCCAAAGATGCTCCTTGGAGTCGGAGAGCTGGGTCAGCACGCCCCACTCCGCATCAAGGAATCTGCTTCTCACCTTCTTTGGAAGCTGCCTGGATGCGCCTCCCTCAATCTCCCCTAAACCTCCTCCCTGCTTTACTTGCTCTTAGCACTGACCAGGATTGAAAAGACTGCATGGTACTAATTTATCTGGCTCATGGCTGCAGCCCTACAAGAAAGTGAGCTCCAGGAGGGCAGGAACTTGGGTTTGCTCCTGCCAAAACCTCCGTCCCTCTGCAGTGCCTGGCACAGCAAAATGATGCATGAACAGCTGCTGAATTAATGAACCACAGGCCTCCCTTCCTCCTCATCCACATAATGAACACCAGCCTTTCTTGCCCAACCACTGTGCCTCAGGGGCTTCCCACGCACTGTCTCCAACTCTGACATAACTCAGCACAGCCATTTCACAGATGAGGAAACTGAGGCTCAGAGAAGTACACCGGCACTGACCAGAGCCGGGATTTGCAAATATGCAGACCTCCAATGCCACGCTCTTTCCACTGATGCCTGAGGCACATGTCCTGACACGGGTTTACCAGGTGCCCACCATGTGCCAGACACGGTACCGGCTGCTGGGGATACAGAAGTCAGGCTGACAAGGTTCCCACACCAAGGAGTTGGCGTCATGTGGGGTGGGAGGGCGGGGACAACAAGTAAACAAGTACAATCTCCTGACTGTGTAAAGGGCCATGAAGGTGTTGAAGCCGGCTCACGGAGAGAACTATAATGCAGGGAACGGGCTTGGGTGTCTGGGAAGGTGACGTTTGAGCTGAGACAAGAAAAGAGAGGTCAGTCAAGTGAAGACCTGAGGGAAAGGCATTCCAGGCACTGGGAACAGCAAGTGCAAAGGCCCAAAGAAGGAGTAAGCTCGATGTATGTGAAGAACGGAAAGAAGGTGAGAAAGAACAGACCAGAGCGACAGAGCAGTGTGACAGGCGATAGGCGCGAGGCACAGAGGAGGGGCCCGTGGGCAAGAGACCCTCTGCAGGGCCGGTGGCAGACAGCGCGCATCCCAGTGAGGGCGGATTGGCCACTTGACCAGCATTTCCCAGAAGCCCAACAGAGCATACAGGGCGGAGCCCAGGCCCACCTCCAGCCAGACGGCGTGGGCACGCTGCGCCGAGGCTGCGAGACACACCAGGAGGGCAAGGACAGGCGCTGCGGGCTCACCCCGCCACAGCCCTGGCTCTCCTGGGAGGCAGCCCGGGAGGGAGGCCCTCCGAGGCTGGAGAGCAGCCTGGAGCACAGCAGCGATCAGGGCAGCTTCTCGGGGACACAGATTCCAGGGTCCATCACAAGAAAGCTGCCTGGAATCTGTATCTCTGATGTGCCTCCACGGTGACTTGGGCACAGTCTGGGCTGGCAGGGCTGAAATGACCATCAGCAGGAAGAATGACGGCCTGCTGCCTGGGGGACCTGGGAGAGGCCACCGAGGGGGCGTTAGCGCCTTTGAAGACTAACAACAAAGCTGGAGTGTGGGTTGGGGCCGGGCCTGACCCAGCTCCACTTTCTGGTGGCAGACAGAATGTTCTGGAGCTCAGGAAGAGCCCTGGCCCGCCCACCCCACTCTCAGGGTGCCAGGGTAGGGCTGCCTCTGCCCAGCTCCTCACAGCAGCCCCCAGGAGTCTGGGCGGAGCCCCACTGGGCGAAGGCGGGGCTTCTTTTTTCTTCCAGGCCCTCACTGCCCTCTCTCTCCCAGCAATCAACGCGGGCGGCAGGAGCCGCCAAATTTTACTTTTCCTAAACTTCCTGGGTGTGAGGCCCGACAAGCCCTCCCAGTGATTATTGCTAGAACAAAGGGACTGGCACTGCCTGGAACCCACTGTGTGCCCGCCCCAGCTGGAGCCTTTTCCCAAATCACCCTGCTTACCTCCCACAAAATCCCCACGAGTATGGATTTACATCCTGATTTGTCTATAAGGGCCCTGAGGCCCAGAGAGCCCAAGAGGCCTCCCGGGTGGCCAGCAGGCAAGGCCCGCGGCTGAGACCCCACCGCAGGCCCTTCCCCTGGGAGGCTGGCCAAGCCGAGGGGACTCCGTTTTTCAGAACATTTTGTCGATACCAGTCCCCGTCCTCACCCAGGGTCTCAGGCTCGCCCCGGTCTGAGCCACGGATTTAGGAAGAGACCAGAGAATATTCCAGGGTGACCCATCCGTTAGGTGCGGAAACATCTTGATTTTATTGGGTCAAGCAGATGCCACTGAGTGGAGGAAGTGGCTCAAACCGAAAGGGACTGGGTACCACGACGAGTGAGGGCCACACGCAGCTCTGCTGCTGGCTGCCTCTGAGCCGGGCAAGCCGTTCTCAGTGAAAAGGAACAAAGTCCTGCTTGTTAAAGATGTTAGAAGGATTAGATGGTATTATAAAGGTTATTATTTAACAATTTTAACAAATATTATAAATAATATAACAATTATTATTGACATTATTATTTAACAATCACTTCTGTAGGGTTTACTATTCACTAGGGGTTGTTCGAAACTCTTCTTTGGATGCTAACTCATTTAATTTCTCACAGTAACCTCATGAGGTGCATTCTATTATTTCCATTTCACAGATAGAGAGGCACAGCGAGGTGAAGGAACTTGCTCAGGATCACAGAGCTGATAGGTAGCAGAGCCAGGTTTAGAACCATGACGGTCTGTACCCAGAATCTGTGCTCCTGACCACTATGCTTGCTTCTGCTGGTGTGTGAACGCCTGGTGTGCCACACGACCCTACAGCACAGGGGTTCGGGAAACGGGGGCTCGGGCCCTGCCACCTGGTTCACATCCCAGCTCTCCACCTGCTAGCCGTGCGCCCTCAGCTAAGCTACTTCCCCTTCCTGCGCTTCAGTTTCACCCACTGTAAGACATGGAGCCTTAGCTGGTGTGGCTCTGTTGGTTGGAGCGTTGTCCTGGACACGGAAAGGCTGCAGTTTTGATTCCCGGTCAGGCCACGTGCCTGGGTTGCGGGTTCGGTCCCAGTTGGGGCACTCAAAAGAGGCAAACGATTGAGGTTTCTCTCTCACATTGATATGTCTCTCCCTCTCTCTCTTCCTCCCTTCTCCTCTCTCTAAAATCAATAAGCATGTCCTTGGGTGAGGATATAAAAAGAAAAGATAGTAATGCAGTGGGTGTTCAGTCAGGTAAGAGAACAGCTGTGTCACGCAGCCTGGCACACAGTGGGTCAGGAGCCCTGGGTTCTCGGGTCAGACCCTTACTTGCCATGTGACTCATAGCAAGCCTTTTTCCCCTTGTCAAGCCTCAGTTTACCCAACAGCCCAGTGACTGGCCTAGGAGATCAGGTGGATGTTTCTGAGGCCGGGAGCCCTGGGAACCACCTGGGGAGCTCTGTAAAAACTACCAGGCTCCAGGCCCCTGCCCACACCGAGAGTTGGCTCCCTTGGGGTGGGGCCAGGCCCTGTATTTGTCAAAACACACAGGGTGCATGCAGGGGGCCTCTAAAGTGTCCAGCTCAAGATTCTCAGAACTCAACGGGGGAGGCAGGAGGGGCAGGCGGTCCCTGGGGCCCTGGGTGCTCTGCCGAGGACAGAAACACGGTGGGCGGGACGGGCCGCAAGATCCTGCCCTGTGGTGCAGGGCCAGCTGGGTGTGGTGTGGGCTGCGGCCCAGGAAGGAGGGTGCTGGGGCCTAGTCAGGGCCCAGGGAAGGGGGTCCCAGGTTGGGAGGGCGTGGGGAGTGTGGATGCCTGGCAGACATTGGGAGCTGGGACCCTAGCCCCAGGATGGGGGTGCAGTCTGCTGCCCCCCAGTAGGAGGAAAGGCTGCCGGCCCCAGGCCGAATCTGATGTAGCTGGAGGGTGAATCATCCTTGCTTACTTTAGCCTCTGAGGGGAGAAGGGCTAGTCCCCTGGGACCGCAGTGACAGGTGTGACCCTTCTGCCACCCACTGTAGCTAGTTTTATTCAAATCAAGCAGCTGTCGTGGGCCTGAGTCCAAACCTCCGGCAGCTGCTGGAAGGGGAAGTGAGTCGAGGACGCCACACTCACTGATGGGAGTGCCATCACTGTGCCACTTGGGGTCCTGTGCTAGAATTCCTCCCACCCAGGGGTGTCCACGAGAGATCAGTGTGGCAAGCCTGGTAGGCTTCCTGGAGGAGGCTGTGAGTAGACTCAGAATGGCTCTTATCATCTTGGGCCTCTTTCCTCCTGCTCCTAAAGAGTGAGACAAGGGGCTTCCATGTTGTGGCTCTCTCACCATGTGCAGCATTGAGGGCCAAAGTTCTCAGGGTTCAAGTCCCACACCTATCACTCAGAAGCTGCGTGAACGTGAGCAAGGTACGGAAGTCCTTTGGACCTCATTTCTTTGTTTGTAAGGCAGGAATAGAACAATTCCTACCTCGCAGAACTGTTATGGGATTGGGAAAACTGACATATGCAAAAGGCTTAGTCCTGTGAGCATGAACAATTGAAGTTGTGCCTAGTGACCTCTTCCTCGGTATGCATGCCTGACCCACTGAGGCAGTGTCAGGCGCACAGTGGGCACTTCAACACCTGGCAACGTGTCCTCGCTGGCTCTCTCTTACTTCTCTCTGAACTGGGAAGGGGAGAGACTGTCCCCCTGTTTTGCGGAACAGGCTAATGGAGAATGTAAGAGACTTTCTCAAGGTCGGGCTGAGGGGAGGGGCCAGGATGGGAGAACAAGCGTCCCTGTCCCCCGGGGTTCTCCAGACAGCAGCTGCTTTGTTTCAGGAGGGAGAGAAAATTCCTTCTGGAACCCCCTGCAGAGGTCAGCAGCAGGACCTGGGCAGGGCCCTGGGGCCAGCTGGGAAAGTGACCAGCAGCACTGAGGCTGAGGTCCTTGTGGGGGCAGCGCTGCCTGGCTCTCCCGTCCAGGGTCAGCTGGGCCAGGGGAAGCAGAGGGCTCCTTACGCAGGACGAAGATGAAACTGCTCTTGTCAGCCAGGATCCACACCCCAAAGCCCAGGATCACTCCGCCCAGGATCTAGGAGAAGAAGGGGGCAGTTAATGGGGGGACTGAGAGCAGGTGGGGGCGGGGGGAGGGCCCTGCCCAGCTGTACCTGAAGCTCAGGCCAGGGGGACACAAGGGAGCCACCTCCATCCTTGGCCAGTCCAGAGACGCCAAAGTGGCCTCAGGCCCCAAACTCCAAGTCCCAGTGAATCCCAGCAATCCAGACAGCAGGGTCGTTGTGAAGAGTCCCTTCTGCCTCCAGTCTCCCTACCCCATGACCACGTGTGGTCAGACCACACCTACCGGCTCTGTGGGGCACAGCCTCCTGCCAGGGGGACCCTCCTACTTATCTCCTGGCCCTTTCCCGTGCCCAGGGCTCATCCCGTCCACTTCAGTCCAGCCCCCTTGTTTGGGGCTGAGAGTGTCCCAAACAAGCCAGGCTCTGGGGAGCACCCCTGTGAACTTGAACATCAAAACCCAACTTGTTCTTCAGAGCTTGGCTCCAAGGCCACCTTCCGCAAGAGCATTCCGGACCACCCCCGCCTCAGGCAGATTAAGGGGCTTCTCCTCTGTGGCAACCGCTGTGGGACCCTTCTTGATAGACATTCCTCTGGGTGGAACTACCATGCGTGGCTCTCTCGGAGCACAGGGCAAGGCTGCATGCAGCTTGTATCCAGCACCAGGGGCCAAGGGCTCGGGAAATAAATGAGTTCATGAACCTAACTGTAAATGCAGGGGTGCAAAGGCAAAGGAGTTGGGGGGGAGGATGGCTGCCATGGCCCAGACCCAGGAATTCTCTGCCTCTTCCCTCCACCAGGGCGGGCCCACAACCTGAGCCCACCTTCCCAGATGGAAGCCCAGCCATGATCCACCATCCCAGCAAACTAGCTAAGGCAGGGGAACAAAGTGCCAGGTTCCCCCCAGAGGGAGGTATTGCGCCACCCCACATGGCTTGCCTTTCCCTGGGGCCTGGCCTGGGCCCACCAGGGGATAACCCACCTTGAGGGACCCAGCATGTCACTGCCCACCTTTACCACCAGCCCTGGCTTCCCTCCTCAACCACATCCCGTAGCCTCAGGTACAAGACCCACAGCTGCCCACAAAGCCCTCAGCCTCGGGTTAGCGTCCCAGCCCAGGGTCTCGATCAGCCCTGCTCTACTGTCATTCCAGACGAGGGCTGGGACCCCGAGGAAGCTGAATGGGGCATTTGCTTCAGGGGTTAAAAGTTAAGGGGACACCCAAAGACTCAGTAGCCAAGCCAAATAACAGTTTACAGCAATTATTTTTTAGACATTAGTGGAAAAAATCCAAGATGAACAAAATATTTTAAACTTCTAAATAAAAGCAGGCTCAGCGTTGCTGATTTTTCCTTTTGACAAGGAGTGGGCCCCCAGTGCGGCACAGCATGTGCCCTTTCTGACCCTGCAGCCCTGGTCCGGGCCCAGTAAAGACAACGGCAGGTGAATACGAAGGCACAGGGGCACGAGGACCGGGGACCCCCTCTTTGTCCCCAGTCCTCCAAGAGCTCACTTGTGTCCCCCTCTCTCCTTGGCAGGTGGACCCTCTTATTGTCCTCTTTTTACAGCTGGGGAAACTGAGGCCCTGACCTTACTCAAGGCCATCCAATTCATCCATCAGGGGCTCAAAGCCAGGTCTGACAATTCAGCTGGGTCAGATGGTGGCCCCTCAGCTGCAGGGTTACCTGGGGTCTGTCCTGCGTTTTCGCCTTAGAAAGCCAGTCTTGGGGGAGAGGAAGGCTACAGAGACCCTGGGGAGAGGGAGGGTGTAGCCCCACGTGGGGGTGTCTCAGACTGCACAGCTTGCTCGGAGGAAGGGGGGCTTTATAGGGCCTGGCACTTAGGTTCCCAGAGACTTCTGAACTCCTGCTCACTCCACCCTAAACGTCACAGCCCTGCTGGACAAGGGCCAGCAGTCAGGCCCACAGTCTGTCTCAGACCCACCCACCTGCAGGCACCCACAGGGCGGGGCGGGGCGGGGCAGGGCAGGGCAGGGCAGGGGGCCTGCCCTTCCGGGGAGAGGGAATGAGAGGCAGGGCAGAAAATTCCCTCTGGGCAAGTGTAATCCCAAAGAGAGTAAAATTCCCGGGCTGCTGGTCTCTGCTCTGTGGCTGGAGAAACCCAGAGGTAAGTCCCTGGCTCAGCCCTTTCAGTTTCTCTGCAGGTCTGCTGACTGCAGCCTGACCGTCAGGTATGGCTGCCTCCCAGGACAACCAGGAGGGAGCCTGGGCCAGGCGGCTGTCCAGAATGGGGGAGGCGCCATGGTACCCTCTTTCTCTGTGAACAAGACTGGGGCTCCAGGACACGCCCCCTCTCGCTATTAACCACCCCCAGCCCTGCCAGGGTCTCCCCACAGCGCCCAGCCAGGAGCTGGGGTCCTGACAGCCAGCGCTCTTCCCCCAGAACAGTGGCACCAGCGGCCTCAGGGCTTCTCTGCAAGTGAGAAAAGCTGACGTGGCAGTTTTGTGAGGAGTCTGGGGTCAGGAGGATGTGCAGGCAAAAACGTGTACATGTACACGTGCGCATGTGTGAGCACACTCAGCAGCCAGAGTGATTCTTCCAAACCGTGAGCCAGATCACTTAACTGCTTCCCACTGCGCATCAAAGATGAGAGTCATCTGGGAAGCCTGCAGGGCCTGCGACCCGGACTGGCACACTCTGCCCCATTCCCCCGAGGGACTGATGCTCCTGCTGCTGAGACCCCCTCCTCCCCAGCCATGCGGAACCGCAGGAAGCTTTTGCTGGTCGCTCTGACAAGCTCAAGAGCCTTCTTACTTGCTCTCGCAGAGGCCACTTCCTTTGTTCCCAGCACCTACCACAACTGTGGTTTTATCATTCATTTGAGAAAGTATTCGATTGGAGCCCACCACCCCCAGGCATAAGCCCCATGAGTGCAGGAACCATGCATGTCTCTGTGGTGGGTTAGTGTGTGCCTGGCACTCCCAGAGGGTCGGAATACACAGAGGTGCCAAACGCACATTTGGTGGAGGAGTGAACAGCAAACATACTGTCGCCTCTAAGCCCCTCCTTTCTCCCTTATCCTCCTGTAATAAGAGCTTCCTGCCCCCACCACACAGCACCCTCGTGCTGAGGGGCCATTCTGAGCCCCAGCACACAGGGAGTTAACACCTGACTCCTACCAGCCCCCTGGAGCAGCTGGGAGGAAGCCAGGCCCCCAAAACCAGCCCCCAGAGCTCTGGCCGGAGAGAAGCTTTTCCAGTCTCTGGGCAGCCTAGTAAAACAGGAAAGGACACCTTAGCCAAAACCATCAGCCCAGCTCCCTCTCTCCACTAAGTCTCTACCCCTCCTCCCTCCCACTGCATGGGTGGAGAGGGGGTGTCTACAGCCCCGAACCACAAGCCCTGGCACCATCCAGGCTAAAGCCAGGACCCACCCTCATCTCTAGAGCCCCCGAGGGAAGGAGCCACAGCATTGCCCGCCCCTGTCCCCCACTGGCTCTTGTAACCAGGCCGCAGCCTGGGAGCCTACTGCCTGCCAGGGAAGGCTTGGCTCTGGCTGCCTGGGCAGCTGCTTTCCAGTGACCTGGGCTGGCCAGGAGGGACCTGACCGCGGAACTGGGGAAGGCCAGGTGCCCAGGCACTGCCCAGGGTGGCTTCCAGGCCTGGCTGCCATCAGAGGAGGGCCAGCGCCACAGCAGGGCCTCAGCACGGTCCTGCGGCAGGGGGCGGGCAGCAGAGGGGGGCTGCAGCCAGGGTGGGCAAAGAGCAGGGCGGCAGCGCCGAGGCTGTCCGTGCGCAAGTATGTGTACACATGTGTGCTTGTGTGGGCCAGGAACTCACTTGTGTGTATCTGTGTGTTGGGTTATAGTTACAAGGAAAAATTTAGAAAGATTCTTAATTTTCTAAACTTTCCATAATCCTATGTAACTTGTAATATAAAACAATTTTTTTTCCCCCCACAAGTAATTCATGTCTATTGTAGAAAATTTGAAAAATGCAGTGGCATAAAGAACAAGCCCCAGGTTTCCCGGAATCCCGACATTAACATTCAGAAGTATTTTTTTCCTCCTCTTAAAAATATTCACGTATGTGTACCATTTTTAAAAGGAAAGTTGGAACATAATAAACCTCTTATGGTAGAACTCAATGATTAAACAGCATAGGGTGAACCAACATGGCGAGGCCACAGCCCCCCTGCACTGTTTTGGGGCTATCGAGGCCCCTTTAGGCCACTCTCACCGCCCTCCCCCCATTACAGACACTCTCACTCACGCGCACGCACACACACCCCCCCCCCCCAGCTTCCTGGCAACTCCAAAGCATGAGGAGTCAGCCAGTGCCAGGCCAACGAGGAGAATCAAGGCCCCGGGAAAACCAGCTGCAGATGCGCATGGAGCTTACATCTGGGTGTCCCGGGGCTTGGGGACTTGGTGACGCCTGCCAGGGAGGGTCTGGGGAAAGGGAACAGTGTCTCCGCTCTGGCCCAGAGCCCAGCCCCTTTGTGCGTGCAGTCTGGGGAGCTCAGGACACATCCTCCACGATGGAGGGGGGAGTGGGGGGTGGCATTTGAGACCGAGAACTGCAACAGGCAAGTTCTCAGAGGGGCAGGGAGAATGGGGGCAGGACAAGAAAGATTCCAGAGACACCCCCCCCCCCAACAATTCCCTGATGAGGAGAACTGAGGAGATGCCCAGGGGCTCTCCTTCCCCCACCCCAAGCTCCAGGGAGTGGGGGGCCGGCAAGGGTCCCGTGCTCCACCCGGGAGCCAGCTGGGGACCGCAGCCGGGGACTCCTCACCGCCCTGACCTGGCTCCATTTGGAATGGTCTGCCCTCAGCCTGCACCAACCACACCCCGCCACAGTCCCCAGGCCTGGCATCTCCGGAGGGTCGCAGGCTGGGATGCACCAGGGACTAGAGTCTCTGTTGGAGGCAATCAAGTGGCGCTGGCCATACTTACAAAGAAGAGCAAGTTGAAGAGGAAGAGAAAGTATTTTGTGACTTTGATGCAGGCTGACCCCATCCTGCCGGCCCTGGAGCTCCCTGTGGAGAGAGAAGGCAGGTAGATCAAGGTCAGTGCGGGGCAGGACTGTGCGGGGCAGGGGAGGAGAGAGAGCTAAGGCTGATGGGCACCCGCCATCTGCTCACCCCAAACCCTCCTGGCTCACCCTCACAACAACCCCATAAGTTAGATACTACTATGAGGTCCCGTTTGATGGCACCTTGAGGCCCAGAGAGGTGAGATGACTGGCCCAAAGCCACACAGCTAAGAAGTGGTCCTATGAGTAATCTTAGCCGCTTGATGCTTGGCAGTTAGGGGCTGGGTCAGCCACTCTACTGGGACCAGGTCTGGAGGGAAATTATATAGGAGAGCCTCAGGGTTCAAAACGTGCCCAGATGGGAAGTCAAGAGACCAGGGAGTTAGCTGGTGACGGCTGGAGGCCCAGAGGTGAGACCTGTGGCTTGTCCCATACATCTGGGCTGGTGGAGGGTGCTGGGCGGAGGGTGCTGGGTAGAGAAGGGGAGTTCCATCTTCTCAGAAAATGGACCAAGCGCTCCCTCTACCTTGTTCAAAGGGAATGAATATGCATTGTGAACATCCAACAAATATAGAAAAACACAAATTCAACAGAAATTTTTATCTTATCCCAGAGATTAAAAACTGTCATCGTTTTAGTAGCTCTACCTCTAGAATTTGGGTGTATAATGAATAGCTTTAAACAAAGCTGTGTTCATGTTGTACAGTGAATTGTTGTCTGCTTTTTCCATTCTATAATATGCCATCTTTTTATGTGGGTAAAATGTTTTTCTACAACATTTTGTGCATAGGATTCCACGGTATTGAGCAATACTTGTTAACTTTGGTGGTGGGGGGTGGGGGGGTCATAGACTCTCCAGAAAGCTCATGTATAGATCATTTTGAAAATAACTTCTTGGGGTTCACAGACCCCATGAAGCCCATTCGGGAACCCCCCAAGGACTCCAGGTTGAAGCCCCAGGTGTAAATATACCGCAAAGCACTTAATCAATACTGAAGATTGAACACACAGGTTGTTTACAATTTTTTAGTCACCCTGAGTGACACAGCCCATGCTGCGTCCCTTCACACAGAGGACCCCAGGCGAGGGCAGGACTCGTGGTGGAAGAGGGAGGCTGGAAGCTGGCTGCCTTCGTACCCTCCCCGAGGCCGGACAACCCAGGAATGACAACAGCCAGATCTCAGGCCCTGGGGGGTGAGGAGAACCAGCGCCAGGCAGCTGGGGCCAAGACAGCTGGCCAGGGACAGCTGCAAGGGTAGAGCTAGGCCGGAGGGGGTGGGGCGGGGATGGGGAAGCAGGCGCCAGACCCAGTCACGTTCCCACTGCCTTGTGGAGGGGGACGAGAGGGGGAGGCCACAGAGCAGCGAGAATGGAGGCCCTCTCAACCCCTCCTTGCAGGGTGAAGGGCAGTCCCAAGTCGCGGGAACCTCCCCTGTCCATTAGGAGGCCTCTCACCGTTCCCTGGGTGTGATAACAATCTGCCCTCATCCTTGCCGAATGGAAGCTCGGCTTCGACTTTATGTACCTCCAGTGACAGGAGAAGGGGGTTTAGGGGAGGGCTTACTGTCTCCCAAGGGTCCAGTTCAGTTTTCTAATATCCCTGTTAAAGAAAGTTTTCTTTAGCTGTCTTTCTAAGGGTCAGATTTGGGCACATGAAGCAAAGCCACCCAAAGAAGAAAAAAAAAAAATCTGCCTGGTTGGTAGTGAGTCCTCTGTCACAAGTGGCATGGAAGCAAAAGCTGAATAAAGACTTATGGAGAGGGGTGGTTCAAGTGCTACATGGGGAAATTAGGCTCTTCCCAGACACCAGAGTCCAAGATCTAGGTCTGAGAAATGCAAGAAGAGTGGCGACTCAGGAACCCTGAAAGACCCGTGTCGGGAACTCTGCCTGGGACCTCCCCCAGGCCCAGAGGCGCCCCCCACCCCCAGGTCAGGAGACCCAGAGATCTGAGAGGAAGGCCTGCGGGGGGCTGGTCCTCATACAGGGGAGCTACTGTTTTCCTCTCTCCCCTCCCTGCACAGCGCCAGGCAGAGGCACTTCATAAACTCGCAAGGAACAAACAGCCAGAGAGGAAAGATCCACCCATGGAGGGAGGCCTGCTTTTCTTCCCTACCAGGGACTTGCTTGCCTGGCTGGGGTTCTCCCCAGTAAAGCCCAGGGGCCGACACATGCTCAGCCCAAAGAGCCTATAGATAAGCCATCACGTCACCAGACATACTTTTCATTAACTACTTCCCAGCGCCCCGAGGGGCCCAGAGCCTCCAAGGAGTGGCGGTGCCAGTTGGTTCTTGTGAAATTGGAGAAGTGTAGAAACAGCCCTTTGGCAACGACAGCAGGCCCAGGGAGCCTGGGGAGTCTGTACACTTCCGGCTCCCACATCCTGCTCTTGGGCCAGGTCTCCAGGGCAGCCTCGCAGGGCTGGAGGTGTTCAGAATGGGGCAGCTTTTAGACCCGAGTGAATACCAGGCCTGGCGAGTGAGGAGGAGGGGCTGCCTGTGAACAGCCACTGGCGCCAGTCATCCCCTTTCATCCTCGAAGGTGAGGAGGGTATCCCTGCCCTGGGGAGGGGGTGGGACAGGCTCAGGCAGGTGCAGTTAACTTGCCCAAGTCACACAGCTACTTAGGCAGCCCAAAGTCTAGGGCCTAAGATCTTTCTATAGTGAAATACTGTGTGCCAGGGACCAGCCACGGACTGAATCTGGGGATAGCTGGGATTCCGTTGACCGAGCAGGTGGTGAGAGCCCAGGTAACTGCTCAAAGGAGCTCTGGTTTAGTGGGCAAGAAGGAGGCAGAGGCGGCTGGGCAGGCATCCCTGATACTCCAACCTCCGGGCCACTTCAGTGGTCTCTTGGTCACTCTCACAAATTATACCAGGCATTGGGCAAAGCTTTTCAACACCCTGTGAGCACACTAAGGCCCAGACGGGTACAAAAAACTTAGTCACCAGTACGTGGACAGGCCAAGAACAGAACCCCGGCCACTGACCCCTTGAGCCTCCCCCTTCTCTCCAGGAGGAAGCTGGGCGGGTTCAGGTGCTGAAACAGGAATCAGGCAGCCCGAGGACTGGCAGGCAGCTTGGCCAGCTGGGGCATGTCCTGAGAGACTACCTGGGAATCACCCGAGGGAGGGAAGGGTACTGAGAACCAGAGCCTGGGGTGGGTGGCCCCCAGGCTTGGGGGCCAAGACCCTGGACACAAAGTCTTTCTGCCCTGCAAGTGCAGTCATTTCCCTCCCACAGCCACAGAGAGCAGGGGATGAGCAACAATCTCTACACCGGCCAGAAGGTGGGCGGTTCCACGAAGGCGGGTTGGGGGTGGGGAAGCGGGGTGGGCAGTGAAGGCTGGGGACATGCCAGCTCATCCTACAACGGGGTGTGGCATCAACTTTAGGGAGCCCTCAACCCCTACCAAGCCCTGGGGACACCCCAAAGTTGGAATCAGAGGGCGTGGGGTTACATTCTAGCTCTGCCGGCCCATGCTGAAGGGTCTAAGCCTCAGTCTCCTTGCCCACAAGATAGGAATAAGCGCTAGGGTAGCATGGGGCTGGCCAGCTAGGCCTGCGGATCAAATCCAACCCACCGCCTATTTTTTTGTATGGCTTATAAGCTAGGAACAAACTTCATGTTTTAAAGATTTCTATTTGTTTATTTTTAGAGAGAGGGGAAGAGAGGGAGGGAGACAGAGAGGGAGAGAAACATCGTTTTGTGGGAGAAACATCGATCAGCTGCCTCTTGCACGCCCCCAACCAGGGACCTGGCCTACGACCCAGGCCTGCGCCCTGACTGGGAACGGAATGGGTGACCTTTCCGTTCACAGGCTGGCACTCTATCCACTGAGCTACACCAGCCAGGGCAAATTTTACATTTTTAAATAGTTGGAAAAGAATAAAGAAGAAGAATATTTTGTAGTGCATGAAATTCAAATTTCAAAGTCCATAAATAAATTTGGGTCGGCACCCAGCCATGCCCACTGGTTTGTGTCTTGTCTGCGGCTGCAGGACGTTTGACCCACAAGGCCCCAAACATTTACTGTCTGGCCCCTTATGGAAAAAAGTTTGATATTTCCCGGTATAGGGGATCAAATGGTGGTGACACAGGATTTTCAGACAAGGGTTCAAATCCTAGCTCTGCCAATGCGTGGCCACAGGGAAGGGGTTTCTGGGGCCTTGTTATCCTCACCTGAAGAGTGGGGCTCCCAACAGAACCCCCTGTTACAAAGACACAGTGAGGTCAGCACCTGGCAGCCAGAGCTGGGATAAGCTCTTTTGTTAGGCCCTGGGCAAGAAGTGAGGACGAGTTTCATTTGCAGATGAAATGAAGCCAGGAACGCCTCCTGGGGTTATGCTTCCTTGTATCTACTCTCTGTAAACACTGGAGGGTTTGCCCCTGCTTCCCTGAAAGGATGTCTTGACAGCCACAAAACAAGCACATCTGATTTGGAAAATTCCAGAACAGTCACCGACAGCTGTTGTGAGCAGTAGGAAGAAGGTGCTGATTTTGTTATGCTTCATAGCAGGTAAATTGACCATTTCTAAGCAGCTATAATTTAAATTGACCAAATATATAATTTTATGCCAAATCAGTGTGTTCAGTGAAATAATTATACTAATGTATCATTAACTCCTACTCATCCTTCAGTATTCACCTCAGACATCCACCGCCTCCAGGAAACCTCCTACCCCTGCCAGCCTTGTCACGGCCACCCTGGCCACTCCCTCCCTGCGGACACGTGTTGGTTAGGGGCACTCCCTCCCTGCTCCCTTCCAATAGCACTGCACGCTGGAGCGTCCCCCCCCAACAGACTCTGGCATCAGGCTGCCTGGTTTCAAATGCGATTCTATCACCTCCCAGCTGTGTGACTTTGGACAAAGAAATTAACCTCTCTGAGCCTCACCTTACTCATCTGTGAAAAGAGGGAAATGAAATCTCTACGGCAGATCTGCTCAGAGACTGAATCAGATGATGTGGGTAAAGTGCCTGGCATGAGGTAGGCTCTTAATATATGGAGATTACTGTTCCAACTCCTCATGCTGTTCCATAATTTTCTACTCACTTGTCCATCTCCCCAGTGGGTTGTGAGAACTCGAGGGGAAAGACTGTGTATTATTTATGAGAACAAAGTAGGCTCCCAGAAAATGTTGCCACCTGGAACATGGGTAGATAGAGGGATGGGAGGATGGGAGGAAGGAAAGATGCAGGGCGGGGTGGAGAGGTGAATAGCAGGGGCAGAAACTTCCTCATAGAATACCAAGGATGGGGGAGGAGCCTCCCAGAGCGGCCCTAGAAGCTGGAGGTTCCCACACAGCCCTGGGGAAACAGTGTGGCGCCTGCTGCATTCGCTGATCTCACAGCCCAGAAACAGGAGGGGCAGGTTGAGTGCCTGCTCTGCTAGGTCACGCAGTAGGAAACAGAGCACAGGTGACTGCATACCCTCCCACCCCACCCCTGTCTCCTCACCTGTCAAATGACAGGACCAGAGCAGCCTTTTCTGGAGCGGTTTCTCAGAATACAAGTCCTAGGAGATGCTCTGTTAAGAACAAAAAATTTTGCTGTCACCAAATTTGTGAACCAACAGTTCTCGCTGAGAGTCACGGTGCATTTGGCTATTAAGGATGCCATGCCGGCAGTAAACACTGCTGACTTAAAACCACCTTTCACCTAATAGCACTCACACCATGTGGGGCACATCTTAGGAAATGCTCCTGAGGTCCCTTAGGGCCGGGGCTCCAGGATTCTAAGTGCCGCAGGACTCCAAGGCAGGGGAAGGAGACGGCCCTTTGACCCTCCGGCCGGCCCTGCCTGAACACCTAAGGGCCTCAGTCAGGTCTCTCTGTGCCTCTGCTCCCTTGTCCCCACCACAGCCCAATCCGCTACCCCCAGCCCCCGGCCCCAGGCCTCACCTCCCACCTGCACCCGACAGTTCCCCAGCTGGCCACAGGTTCCCCTCCTGCCCTCGCCAATCTGCTACCCACACCTCCAGAAGGGCTTTGAAAAATGCAAACTGGACCTTGCCACTCCCCAACCCTGCAAGCCTGCAACGGTGATACAGCCGAGATGTCTGCTGTAAAGTTCATGTTCTTAGGCGGCCCTTGGGGCCCTCCCCGCTGTGCCCTGCCCCTCCTCTGCCCGTGGCACCTCCCCCCTCCCATACACACGTTCATTCCTCGGGCCACAAAGGCCACTCTTTCCTGTTGTTCCAGCAGAGCCGGCCCTTGCCCACCAGGACTTTGACCTGAGCTGCTTCTTCCAAGTTCAGCCCTCTCCCAAGGCCCCAGGCTGGCTTCCTCTCCTTGAAGGCTGAGCTCCCCCTTCCCAGAGGTGTTCATTCCCTGAACACCTGGTCTACACAGCAGGCCTCACCTCCAGCTGCACATTGGAATCAAAACATGCCAACACCCAGAGCACCTCCCCCCCCCCAATTCCTGACCCGCCAGGTCATCAGAATCTTGGGGGGACTCCCCATATGCCTTTAAGGAGTAGCAGCTTTGACACCTGGGCCTGTCGCCTGCCCTGCTCACTGCATGCACCTAATTGGCTTACTACTGTATCTGGAGCCCCCATGACAGTACTGGCTCCTTAAGGGCAGGGGCTGTGTCTGTCCCAGGGCCTGGAGCAGTGCCTAGTCCACAGCAAGTGCTCAATGTGTGTTTGCAGGAAGCAGGAAAGGAAGATGGGGGCAGTCTGGAGAGGTAAGGAAAGGTCTCTTAGAGAAGACAGACCATTTATCCTGCAACTAGGGAGGAGGTTGCTTCCTCTCAAGACTGGATTTTAACCTCCTTTGGGTCAAAAAAGCCAACGGACAATGTGAACTGTCTCCCAAGAAAGATGCACACAGCTGGGTAGACACAGGCTGTCACCTGGTCAGGGGGTCACTAAGCCCGGAAAGCCAGGAGGTTCTTATTTCTCCATCTCCCACTTGTTTAGAGTAGTGGTCCCTGATCCTGGCTGCACTCTGGAATTTCCCTGGGTCCTCCTCCCAGAGATGCTGACTTAATTGGCCCAGGGTACAGTGCAGACATCAGGGTTTGGGGTTTTTTTTAAAGATTTTATTTACTTATCTTTAGAGAGGGGAGAAGGGATGGAGAAAGAGAGGGAGAGAAACATCAATGTGTGAGAGAAACATTGATCAGTTGCCTCTAACATGACCCAGCTGGGGACCTGGTCTGCAATCTAGGCATGTGCCCTGACTGGGAATCGAACCCATGACCTTTCAGCTTGCAGCTGGTGCTCATCCATTGATCCACACCAGCAAGGGTCATCAGGACTTTTCAAAGCTCCTGGGAACTCTAATGGAGCCCTGTCCCTCTGCTGGGAGTAGGATGCAGGCAGGCCCGGGGTTGCTGGTGCAGCAGGGCTTGGCCAGGGAGAGTTCCCACAAAGCTCCCGGAACCTCTGCTCCGTCCTTGACTTCCTAGAGGCCCAACCCCCGAGTCAAGAACCTCAGAGCCATGTGCTCTCTGAAGGGGAAGGCCTTTGAGATCAGTGCATTTTTCAGAAGGGCCGGAGAAAGCAAGACCCCGCAGGCCACACAGTCAAATCAGGGCTGAGCACTCAGTGGAGGACTTAGAGATGCCAGGTCCTGAGCTCTTCTCTCTCCACTTACTGCCCAGTCCTAGGTCACCAAGCCTTCAGCATAGGGATGCATTAAAACTGAACTCAGAGTCACACAGTGACGCTTGGTTTCCTCCCCTGGATCTACCACATGTCAGCCACAAAACAGTGGGCAACACTGCAGAGCTACCTCCTTATCAGTGGATGGGGATACTAGAGCCACCCACCCCACACTGGTGTGAAGGCGACCTGCACCCTGCTAGCACCCAGCAGGGCTTAATCCGAGCTGGCACCCTAGAGCACTCCTACTCTCCATGCCAGAAACGCCAAAGCTGCCGCATCTTACCAGCTGTGTGGCCTTGGGCAATCACTTCGCCACAGTGCCTCAGCTTTCCCACCTATGAAATGGACTTAATAATGGGTTATGGTGAGACTGACATGAGTTAGTATCTGTAAAGTGCCTGGCACCGGGTAAATGTCAAATCAATGCTCCCAATTATGAAGATGATGATTGCTACCCAGAAGTTGTTAGTTTCCTGACCAACAGTCCAAAGCCCTCTGAGGGGCTTGACCCAGCCTGCAGATGCGTGCCCAGCCTGGAGGGCTCCGCACCAGAGGCGGACCACCACTGCTCTGTGGCAAGGGGTTGGTTAGACGGGGCTGGGCTGAGCTGCCTCTCAGGAAGGAGGGTCTCTGCCCCGCCCCCATGGGAGGGGCTGCTGTCTCCAAGCCTCTGGGTTGTGTGGAGGGGCCTGCCTGAGGCCTGGAGGTCCGGCCAGTCTGGTGGGTTGGACAACTGATCCCAAGAGAGCTCGGTGTGTGTGCTTGGGTGGAAAGTGGAGTGAGAGAGCCTGGCCTGGCCACTGTGGCCTAGAAGCTACCGGTCTTCGGGCACTCCACCTGCCAGCTGGGTCTTGGCCACCCAGCTCTCCTCCGGTCCTCTGGACTTTGTCCTGATTGCCCGTGAAAAGAGGCTGGTCACAGGTGGCTGTATTTGTTTTCACGTGTGACAGGTGATGTGTTTCCTGAAAACACAGCTGACTCCAGAGGCTGACTTTTTGAACTCTTCTCTATCTTATTTTCCAGTCTCTGGTCTTACCTTTCTGTTGTTGTTAAAACAAAAAAGAAAAACAAAAAAAAGCTGTTACTCTTGGCAACAGGAAAGTCACGAGGCCATAGGCATGATTAGGATCTCAAGGTTCCTTCAAGACGTAGGTTCAAATCCCAGCCCTGCTTCCTACCAGCCGAGGTTGTGACCTTGAGCAAGGGAGTTACTGAACCTCTCTGAGCCCAACGTCTCCTCTCTAACCCGGGGACATGAGCAAGACCCGTCTCACAGGCTTGTTGGAAGACCTAGGTGAGGTGCATATTTGGGGGCACTGTCAGTTGCTCAACACAAGTGAGCAAAGGCCACCGCCACCAGCCTCATGGCTTGGAAGAAACATGTCCAGATCAGACTCTCCCAGGAATCACGGAGTTTCAGAGCCCCAAGGCCTCCTTTTTGTCACACAGATGCGGAACCCAAGGCCCGAGGAGGAACAGCTCCTGCCTCGAGATTGCTTCCACCAGCTGGTGTAACAGGCCCCTATTCTCCTGAGGGCTTAATGCTCTGGAGCTGGAACTGACCCTGGCATTTTGGGGAAGGAGGCCACGGGCACCAGAGAAACTCAGGCAGCAGCCACCCCGGCCAGGATGTGGCAGGGGTGGGACAGTACTTTATAGTTTGAATCATGCCATTCCTGCCGTCCCTCGCTTCACCTCTCTAAAACCCCACGCTTGAGTTATTATCCCCATTTAACAAAGGAAAAAACTGAGACTCAGAGGTTCAGTGGTTTGCCTAAGGTCACACAAGTAAGTGGCTAAGCCGTGATAAAACTGAGGTCTGATTTGAGACCAGGGTTTCTTCCTCCTCGCCTGCTTGCTGCCGAAGGGAATAAGATAGATGGTGGAGCCTGCCTGCCCCACCCTTCCGTACCTCTGTGTGCCTGCCTGACCCTCCATCCTCCCCTAGTTCTGAGGCATGACTCTTGGCTTCCTGTCAGGAAGGAAAAGGTCAGCCCCACCAAACCTGGCCAGGGTGTTCTTTCAGTGCGGCTGATGAGCCTGAAAGATGTGGCCTTCCCAGCAGGCTTTGCTCTGAAACCCAAGCAATGAGACTGGAGAGCCTTCAGCACCAAGTAGGGGCCACTCTGATGGAGGATGCAGTGTAGGGAAGAGCAGACCCCTGCAGTCTTCCAGCCTCCCCACCTGGCCCCCATGCAGCCAAAGACTCAAGTTGAGGCAAAGCCATAGGCTCTGACCTCTCCTTCACCGTGGCTCCCTTTCTGGACTGGTTTTGGCCTGTTTGGGCCTCATGCAGACTCTGTTCCCTCCCAACACTGGGTTGTAAGGTTCACACACCCAGATTCACAGTGCCAGGAAGGCCTCTGACATCACCTACTGCAGTACCCATTTCTCAGATAAAGAGACTGTGGCCCAGAGAAGACCATGAATCCCCACCCTTCTGGGGAAAGTGTGTGTTCAGTGTGTGTGGAGAGGGGCTTGGTTAGAGCCATCGGTGCTTCCCAACCTGCTTCCCATCATGATACACATAGAGAAGGGCACATAATTGTTCAGCACACTGGGATGGACAAACAGGATTGTGCCTGGTCTTAGCTGAGCAGCCCAGGGCCCTGTCCCTATGGGCTAAGGAGATATCTCAACATATTTGTAACCTATTTGGGCCTATCAGTTGGGACGGCCTGATTTGGAGGGAAATTTAGGAAGACGAGAGGCTGTTTAGGAGTCCCAGATCCCAGGGGCTCTAATAAGAGGACCCAGATTCCCACGTGGGCTCTCAAGAGCCAATCCATCTTCCAAGGACCCCTCCACAGCCCCATGGAGGGGAGCAGAACAATGAACCAGCTCCTAGTATGGACTTGGAATTGAGAGAGACATAATTCCAATGCCACTGTGTCAAGCTGTGTGAATTTTAAC